CCCCAAAACCCCAAAACCCCAAAACCCCAAAACCCCGAGGTAGAAGACTTAGGTTGAAATTTAGGAATCATTAATAATATTTTAATCATTTGCCTGTTTAGATAAATTATATTTTCCCTTTGATTTAGATTAAAAATACAAAAAATTGAGGCAAGAGAGTGGTAATAGAAATTCCTTGTGCTAAGAACTTTGGAACTTAATTAAAATTTAAGAATTGCCGCCATTTTATGTGCTCAAAATGTTTTACGAGAGCAATTTAAAGATCTTCACATATAACAGTGACTTAATCAATGGCTAAAGCTGAGTGTAAATACCTAGACAAAATGCAAGTTATTTGATGAATTCTCAAATTAAAAAAAATATAAATCAAGAGTTCAGAATAGCCCTTCCCTATTTTATCCTGATACGCTCATCACACGAGGAAAGAGGCACCATACAATCCGAGCTAGTCTTCTAAATTTAGAATCTTCTAACTCATTATTCATATCAGAGGATGTGGAACCATGAGTTTCTTGGTCAGTGATGTCACCCTCTTTATCTTTGAAAGCCTGCTTTATTAGCCCCTCTGTGAATCTAAATGAAATTAATTATACCAATCCATGGACAAATCTAGCCTGTCTACCCTGAAAGCATAGATTAGCACTTACGGATCGACCTAAGCACAGGTTGTCCTAAGGACTTAGAGAAAGCACATTGATGAAGACTAAGTAATGTCTGTAGTCAGCAAAGCTATGTTTTTAAGCCAACCTTTGCTATCTCGAGGATTTCATTGGTCACAGAATGAGAAGCCAGAAGACAAGGATGTTGGATGTGTGTACTATTTAACAGGAAATCCATATTTCGCCAGAGTCTCTTCACAAAGCTCATTAGAGTGTCTCGAACTGCTGATGTTCATCGACTCGAGGCTCTTCTTAAGATCAGGCGATTTTGCCAACCCTGAAATGAGGCTGTCGAGTGTATGAAGACTTTCATCTGCGCTGTCGTGATTGGTTATATCTCAAGATTTAAAGGTGAGTCTTTTAAGGGTTGTTCCTCTGAATATATCTGAAAAATCAAGATCACTTGGTAGAGAGAATGTAGAGTCGATGATAGCGAAAGAATCTATATGCTTGATCGATACAAACAACCTTTTCAATTGCTTTAAGTTGATGCTAGAAATTGAAACCTGGGCTTACTTTCTGAAATCATGCATTAGAAATTGCTTGGATTTAGTAATAGAACGACTGAAAAGTAGATTCAAATATCTGAGTTTCTTCTCTCTCCTCATTTTATATATACTAAAGTCCTCAGTAGCAGTTGGAGCAGATTTTATAACAAAGTTTCTGAAGTGTTTATTTCCAAAGTCAGCTTGGAATAATCCAATGCGAGCCATTTTGGGTATCTTAATCTTGGAAATCTCTTTAGCTAATCTCGAGTATCTAGAGTAGATCAATATTTTTAGTATACCTGTAATTATTGAGAAGCAAGCCGATTCAAGCTTTTGCATCCCACTTGAATTTTATCTTAAGCATTCTAAAATAAATGTTCTCAAATAGCTGAACATTAATATCTTCAGATTCTTGCTTGATCTGTTCCTCTGTTCTAGAAGTAAAGAGTGGCAAGTGGAATGGTGAAGTTAATGGATTCAAATTTTTGAGAACAACTAGCCCTGAATTCTCTCCCAGAAATTTCTAGAATCTATGATATAGGTAAAGATACGACCAGATTTAAGTACTCATAATCCTTAAAGATGCTAAGATTCCTTTATCAAGCCTCGACAATTTCGATTGGCAATGAAAAGGTGTGCCTATTGTCTAGTTTTGAATACCATAGCCGAATTCGGTAAATATCTTGCTCTCTGATCTCTGTGTTCTCTTCGCTCAATGTATCTATATTGGGAGCAGTGAGCATGGCTATGCTTAGTTCGGTATTTAAAGTAGTCCTACTCGAGGATAAGTTAAAAGTATGCTACACCCTTCTTTTAACCTAATAGCTCTCTTGGAAACGTTCTTCTTTACTAAAGACTCTAGCTTTTAAATTAGGCTTTTAGGAGCCCTCTCCTAGGTATTTGCAAAGCAGATTTGGGATCGTGCTTGGTCTGAAAATGAAGCCATTTCAAATATGTCAATTTGGCTATTAAACAGTTCTGTACCTGGTGCATTTCAAGTCTGGTTGGTTGCCACTCCTGGTCCGTCCGGCTCCATTTATGGATCTTTGTAATTAATATTATATCCAATGGTCAGGGCTAAATAGGGGTTTTGGGGTTTTGGGGTTTTGGGG